CGTCTGCAATCTGGAGCCATCATACGAGCAACTTATGGTAGGATTCGGACAAGATTACCTTCAGAAGATGAAGAATCGGATGCCGGCTCTGCAGTCGCATCAGATAATACGGTATCCAGCGAGGGACAACCTCGCGAGTCACTTATGATAAGTGCGGAACAAGTGGCCAAGATGCTCGAAGAAGCTATGGCTAAACAACAAGAGAGCTTCAAGTTCGAAATGCAAATGGCTATGCAGAATATGAGAGAAATGCATGACCAACAAATCCAAGCGCTGACAAACCAGCAAGGCGAACCAAGTAATCGTAACCAGGTCAATCAAGAAGATGAGGACACGGGTGCAGATGAAGCTCATAATGCCAATAATCCTCCCGTCCATGCAGGGGGTGGTAACGAGAATGCACGCCACACTTCCACCTCAGAATCGTGCTAACGAAAATACAGGTGAAAGTTTGAAGATTAAAAACCTCGAGAGCAAAATCAATACATTGATTTCCGCTCAAGAGATGAAAAAGACGGGCATTCCTTGTCCATACCCAAGAGAATGGGAATCAATCCCGTATCCGTCGAAGTTCAATCTAATTAACTTCATGCCGTTTGATGGGGAGGGTTCACCCACTCGGCATTTGATTTACTTCAAATCACACCTAGGGGTTATCCTGGTAATGAGCCTCTGATGGTACGGTCCTTCGTTGGCACTCTTCGTGGAGCCGCCTTCGATTGGTATCGCCGCCTCAAGCCAGGAAGTGTGAATAGCTGGGACGACATGGAGACTAAATTCCTCACCGACTTCTTCGACGATGACACCAAGATATCCATCAGGTCATTGCTTGATGAGAAACAGAAAAACGGAGAATTAGTTGATACCTTCGTCAAAAGGTTCCGGAACAAGGCGATGAACTGTCGGGACACGATCACTGAGGAGTTCATTCTCCAGACTTGCCACAACAACCTCGCATTGGACGTGTTGGAAGCAATGGGGATAGCACCCTGTCGGGACCCGATCACTGAGGAGTTCATTCTCCAGACTTGCCACAACAACCTCGCATTGGACGTGTTGGAAGCAATGGGGACAGCACCGTCCAAAACATGGAAGGATTTGAAGGTCCGAGGAGAGCAAGCCGAATGCTTCCTCCGAAGGAAGAAAGCCGAGAGGATCCAACCGACGGCGAATCTTCCGAACTCAAACTTCGCCTCCCGTGGGAAGGGAAAACACCTGCAGCTACTGGTGGTGCTAATCAAACGTCACAACAGCAATCCCGAAGGCAGCAAAAGACTTCGGACCCAAAACTCAAAAAAGAGTATTCCTTCAAGGACGAAGACGTTACAGCCATCTTCGAATCCCTCCTTGAAAACAACAAGATCAAGCTACCACCTATCGCAAATCAGGAGGAAGCTGACAATACTGCGGATCCAAAGTACTGCGCGTACCATAGAAGGATCATTCATCCCACCAAGGCGTGCTTTACTTTAAAGAACAGCATCCAAACTTTGGTTGAAGCCGGCGTTATAACGCTAAGGTAAGCCAATTGAGAACGGGAACACTCCGATAAGTATAAGAGTATAAACTGCTCCTTTATAGACTTCAACAAGTTTAAGAGTATAAACTGCTTCTCAATCCTCCGACCGGTATAAGAGGTTAAACTGCTCCATGATACTCCAACATGTATATGAGTCTAAACTGTTTCATTTCTTTCACGGGAAGTTCCTGAAGAATTTTTATATGTAATATTCTTAAGGATAACCCGGTCATGTAACTGAGTACAATGTCGGACCCAGTTCCACAAGGGAAGCTGGGGGGATTATTCATGTATCGGGAAGTTCCCGAAAGAATACCACGGGTGATATTCTTAGGGATAACCCAATCACTATAAAAGTGATAAGTAAAACATCCACATTTAAACTCTAAATGTCGGAATGTTTTCCATTATTGTTATCAAATTCACTAATTCTCATGAGTTATCTTGTTGAGACGAGATTCGATCCTTTTGACAGATTAATCTTTCCTCACAAAAATCCCCCACTGATCAAGTCAATTGACAGTGGGTCCACTAAATTTTTTGTCCGCCAATTTATGGCAATTTCCAAAGCTTGACGTGTTAAGTCCTGATTACTTAACATCAAAACCCTACATCGAGTGGCCAGTACAAACCAGTATTTCTACTGCTACTTGTATTCCACTCCCTTTGCTTTCAGGTCAAACTTATAAAAGTTAGGGCCACAACCAAAATCCCCTCTCGATTCCTTCAATGAACGAGAGGCCCATAAATTAAGTGATCAAACCTTCCTATAGTTAGGATCGTCTTAAACCTCCCATTCGGTCAAACCTTCCTACAGTTAGGACCAAAACCAAAATCCCCTCTCGATTCCTCCAATGAACGAGAGGTCCACTTTCAAATCGAGTGATCAAACCTTCCTATAGTTAGGGTCATCTCAAACTCCTGCTTGGTCAAACCTTCCTACAGTTAGGACCAAAACCACAATTCACTCTCGATAAACGAGGAATTCACCTTTAATTCGGTAATCTAACATTCCGACAGTTAGGATTATCCGAATCTGTCCGATTCTCAGAGTGGAGATCCCACTTCTAGTTTCTTTTGCGCTAGAAATAGAATATAAAATTCTTCCTTTCCAGAATCAAGGAATAGAATATAAAATTCTTTCTTCCTTGTATTCGGGTTCGCCTTCACCCTAAAAGAAGACTGGGAAATATAATATAAAATTCTTCCTTTCCCACACCAACCGTTTCTAAGAATTTATCAATCTAGGATTCATCCTATGAAGTTTATCCCGAATCCTAAGCAGGGATAAGTCTGCGCCTAACACGCGCTGTTGGTTTAGTCTTTCTCCATAGAAAAAGACACCAGAGTTCGATTCTGGGGTATCCTATCCTGAAACCTAAACAGGGATAAGTCTGCGCCTAACCCGCGCTGCCGGTTAGTTCTTAACCATTAAAAGGAACACCCGCCCACATATTCAATATTGTGGCAGGTTGTTATTAATAACACCAAAATCCATGCCTTACACGCATGAGGAATTTCATCCTGAATCCTAAGAAAGGATATGCCGACGCCTAACACGCGTCGCTGGTTTAGTCTTTCTCCGAGGAAAAAGACACCAGAACCTGATTCTGGGGACTTTTATTCCGAAGCCTAAGTAGGGATAAGTCAGAGTCTAATACACGTTACCGGGTAGCCTATTCCCGTAACAATAGTGAAGTCTACGTATTCGAAGTCGTAGCAGCAAGTCTAAGGGAGTTCATTCCGTTAGCACAACGTCGCATGCGGAACGAATTTAGACAATCCGCATGTTAGCCCGACTCAAACGGTAGTCGGTAAAGGCTAATCAAATCCATTGAAGGCTGGGGGTTAGCCAAAAATCCTAAAGTCAACACCTAACACGCGTTGCCGGGTAGCCTATTCTCGTAACAAATGGTAAAGCCTATGTATTCGACATCATAGCACAAAGTATCAGAGAATTCACTCCCTTAGCACAACGTCACATGCTGAACGGATTTAGACAATCCGCATGCTAGCCCGACTCAAACGGTAGTCGGTAAAGGCTTATCAAACCCGTTGATAGCTGAGAATTTGCCAAAAGTTCTATAAATGCCACTACTAAATAATGAGGCATCCTAGACGGAAAATTCCGTCTAGGATACCTAGAATTCCGTCTAGAATGCTTATTCTAGACGGAATTCCGTCTAGAATACGCGTCTAGTATGTTTCCGTCTAGAATGTAGTATTCTAGACGGAAATTCCGTCTAGAATAATCCGTCTAGGATGTATTCTAGACGGTTTTCAAAACCGTCTAGAATACATCCTAGACGGATTATTCTAGACGGAATTTCCGTCTAGAATATTACATTCTAGACGGAAAAAAATTCCGTCTAGGATGACTATCCTAGACGTATGTTGCGTTTTTTTTTTTTTTTTTTTTTTTTGCAGAAACTACTTTGATTGCATGTACACAATATTAAACAAAAAAAAATTATATTCAGATCCAACACAATCTAATTATATTTTAATATCAAATCCTATTATATTCAAATAATACATTCACCAAAATAGTAGAGAGATACATAATTTTTTTACAAATTTTTACATAAATTATTTACAAGAGGTTCTGTATGCTCCATCGCACAACATTACGCACAGTTCCTCCTCTTTGGAAAAATCGAGCAACAGCAAAAGCTACATCCTCTGCGGGCCTGTGAGGATCTGGTGAATCCGCAAAAGCTACATCCTCTTCGATTTCCTGAACTGATCTCAAACCCCTCCTTCCAGCATCCCACACCTAGACAAAAATACATAGAGGTTATTAACAGGAAACTCCTCTAATGTGAGATTGCAACCTGACAACAACTATTATAACAAGTCATAACTTCTAGGTATTAGTAATTGATCCGAAGCAATGGCTAACAGAAGTGTATACCTTAACTCATCAGAAAATCTTAACCAAGTCCCCATAAACAGTGCTCACAGGAGCATAAGGTTTTGTTAGTAACAAATCAAAGGTAATAACAGACCTTATGATATCCTTCTATTTTCTAAACCAAATTCAAGAAGTAGATATTTGAATCATGAAATTTTCAGATATTCGAGCAAAACAAATGTGCAGCATCAGCTACCTATAAAGGATATGACAATAAAAACAAAAGAACAAGTGCTTACACCACACTTGGATCAATGAGTAGTAACAAGTAGACTATTAGATAACGCGATATGAAATCTTTTTTCTTAAAGTTTCAGGGAGGATATAAATACTAGCTCTTACCTTGTTATAGCCTGTGATAATCTTTTATATCCTTCACATTGAGAGCTATCGGTCACTCTTGAGAAAATCTGCGAATTCCCCCTAGTGATATATATAAGCTGGACATCTCTTGTCAACTCTGAACTTAAACTAAATAATTGGTTCAAGATTTGGTGGGAACTGCCAGCAAATAATCAAATTAACCACTACTAAATTTAAAGGGAAGATCCACTCACAAGTTTATTAGACCAGTGAGAGACTGGAAAGCATCTGGCAAATCACCACTTAAATGATTAACGTTCACTGACCTACCAAAAACAAAATATAGGAAGATGACAAAGAAGTTGTAATTACTCCTCACAAATAAAGGAAAGGCATATAAAGATTATACTCCTCACAAATTAAGGAAAGGCATATAAAGATTATTAACATGATCTTACATGTCTGATAGAAGTGTTAGCTTGGACAGAGAACTTGGGATGCTTCCTGTCAATTGGTTAGCCGAGAGAAAACTGCCATAGGCAAACAGAACTATAATGAATCAAAAGTGACTACACCCCAAGAAAAAAAGATAGAAATTGCTACAAGGTTTTCCAATTTCCAAAAACGTACAATGTCTTCAGTGTAAGAGGAAGATTCTCCGGGATAGTTCCACCAATGTTATTATTGCTAAGATCTCTATTACACATTTAACAAAGGAGCTGTCACTGAAAGCTTTCATGATTATGTAATCAGTTATTACAAAGCAACATGAACTAATATGTAGTTAAGAATCTCCAATATACCATAACCAGAAAACAGCATGATTCTTGAGACAATAGTGTCAGTAAATTACAAGCCTGAAAGGTGGAAGTTCACAATGCCGCTACTTACTCATAAAAAAATAACTTAATCATCGAACGCAATCTCTAACTTATGGAGCAAAAGTATCACACGCCTAACATCCACCCTCTTTATAGCATAACATCAAAAAATAACTTATTCTTCCATATCCATCTTGAAAACATGCTGTTACAAAGAACAACCAATGTGTTTACACCCCAAAGCATTGGGTGATAATAAAATATTTAAAATTTCTATACGAGCAATTGAAAAATAAGTCTCAATACAAATTTCTGAAGAATCTTTCAGACCTGATTAAAATGTTGCTGCAACTTTTCTTTTGTCAAATTGATGCAGAATTGTTCAAAGCTGGAAGAAAACATACAGTAATAAAAATCGATTGTGAAAAATTATAAAAACAGGTTCAACTAGTAGCTAGTAAGATAATATCATCATAGTGGTCAGCAAGAGCAATAACTATCACATCAATTCATAACAACTCTAAAGTATAAGTTTAAGAAAAGAAAGGGGGTGACTTAGGAGAGACCAAATTTCTAAACGGGTTCTTGTGTAGACGAAGCTACAAGGAATGGCACAGAGGCCAAGTCTAAGATAAATTAAAACTTCGACTAAGATTCCAACATATCACCTGACCATTTCATAAAATCCTAACAATTTAATTCCAACATATCCCATATTCAGCTTGCAAACGATAATACGATCAGACCCCAGCAAATTTGATTCAAAACATAAGTTCAAACTATAATTTGAAGGAATTTTGCATAAAAATTCAATTTTCCCCCCTCTATTCTGCGGCCTCCAGCCCTCCTTCCAATGCCTACCCTCATCTCCCATCACGCTCACTACCGACAAACTTACAAACTACGACTACCTTTGCAAATGGAACAAAAAATTGAATTTTTCCTGCAAAATCCCCCAAATTTTCATTAAAAAAAAAGAAAAAAACACAAATCAACAAAAAAAATTTTACCTCATCGGGCCGAAGAAACACGACATTGCCCAAAACAATCACAGCCCCCGAATCATCGAGAGCTTTCGCGCTCCCCAACCCCTGATCCAAACTCGAGATCTCACTTCAAACCTTCAAAAACTCCGAATACGAGATCCTTTCTTTCTCCATCGATCTCAACCTCGACCTCGCCATCTCCATCTTCGCCGCCTTCATCACCTATCTCACCTCCGACGACGACATCCTGGTCTCTCCTTCCTCCTTCTTTGGCGGGATCAAGTAATCGAGCCGGATCCGAGACCCGTTAAGGATCCGAACCCGATCAAGTAGACCATCGGCGACGGAAATAGGGAAGTGATCGGGCGGGATCGGATCCTTGTGGAGGAAGCGGCGGTAAGGCCTCTGTCGGAACCGGATCTATACTCATCGTCTCCTCTAATGTTAACGAATCGAATCGAAGAGGATTTAACAAATGAGGCGAATTTGAGCGAGAAAAATCCTAACCATAGCCCTAGCCCTAATTTCGAGTCGTTCCCAATAAGAGGAGGCGGGAGAGGTGGAGAAGGGAGAGGTGGTGGAGGCCATGGATGGAGAAGGAGTAGAGGGGGAGAGAGAGGTAGGGGGTGAGGATGAGGAGGGAGAGGGAGAGGAGGGGGAGGCGGTGGAGGGAGGAGTAGGAGAGGGGTTACTGAAATTATGGAATTTGGGGATGAATTATTCGTTTTTGGAGGGGAAAGGAGTGCATTCGCGGGTTTATTTGGTAAATTTTTTTTTTTAAATTGGCTAGGTATCCTAGACGGAAATTTCCGTCTAGGATACTATTCTAGACGGAAATTTCCGTCTAGAATACTTGGTTAATTTAAAAAAAAATTAAATTAAATAAACCGTCTAGTATACTATTCTAGACGGAAATTTCCGTCTAGAATGTTTTATCCTAGACGGAATATTCTAGACGGAAATTTTCCGTCTAATTTAATACATTCTAGACGGAAAAAATTCCGTCTAGAATATTCCGTCTAGAATACGTGTTTTTCTACTAGTGTGCGAGTCATTGACGCATTAACTTTATGAGTTGGTCTCGTCACTTGAGCATCAAACAACTTTGGGATAATATCCACATATGCAGACGAAACAACTGTAATAGTTGGTCCTACAGCCCTAAATTTGAGACCGCCACACTCCGAAAAGTATAAGAGTATAAACTGCTTCTCAAGACTCCAGCAGACGTACGAGTATAAACTGTGTATAAACTGCTTCTCAAGACTCCAGCAGACGTACGAGTATAAACTGTGTCAAACGCCGGACAACGCGTCATAATGAAGCTCAAACGCCGGACAACGCGTTACAACGCGTCATAATGAAGCTCAAACGCCGGACAACGCGTTGCAAATGAAGACTCAACGCCAACAATCGTTGGTCAGTTCTATGTTGAAACAACAAACACGAGCTAAAGATCAGAAAATCAGGAATTGATTTCAAGTTCAAAATTCCGACAACGGTCAGACAATAAATGCAGCACCGGAACCCTTGTAGACATTCGACAAAGCATCGAATAGCCTGAATGATTGAAGGAATCAAGAATAGAAGCCATTCCAAGGTTCCGTTACACCGATTGGAGGTTGGGACAATCATATCCAAAGTATTCCAGACTCTTCTATAAAAGAATGAGACTGAAATACTTTGGAGGGGGTATCTGTAGGCATATAAAACTGCTTATAGGTCCCTTAACACAGCTCGGCACGGTGATTCGACAAACCAACGAACCATCGGGTGATGTATCCAAGCGTGATCGTTAGACCACAACATCGAAGCTAAGTGAGATGCGACGAAGCAGATTAACGTGGCGATGAGGTTAGACACCGAAGCGGATTTACTGCCAAATCAGGATCCGGATTGCCAAATCAGAGTCCAGAACAACAAATCAGAGTTTGGATGAACCGCGAAACCGGAAAACGATAAAATGGCAAACAACTGGAGGACTCGGCCAAAACCAAGCCACTCGGGTGGCTCGGCCAAAGCCGAGCCACCTGGGCCAAGCCCAGATCTGGGCCCAGATCTGGTTCTAAATGCCTATAAATAGGCTTGGTGGCTCATTGTTTTGGAGGTGGGAATTTTGGAGCCGAAACTCTGCTGGATTTAGAACTCACCTTCGGATTCAAAGCTTAGAAGACTCGAACTCTCAGATCTGGTTCTTGACGATCATCCACGCCAAATAAGGTAGGAGTTCGAGAGATATCAGATCTGAGATCTACACGGTTTCCCTCCGGATCAGAGCTTGGTCTTTGATCCCGAGAAGAGTCTTGATTTCCCTTGGTCGATTTCGATAACTACAGGCTATTATTTCCTTGGTGAAATAATCCCCTCGGCTGTTATTTCCTTCGTGAAATAACACCCGCTATACCGTGTAGATCCGACCGGATCAAGATCGCGCAGTGGTCCACGGATTAACCCCGGCGCAGGCAAAGAACCCACAAAAGCGAGAGACCGCAAAACAGGATCTCGCGATTCGTTCGACATAAAAGGAAAGTTGTAATTTTTTTATTTCTTTTTGATTTTGTTGTAACCGGATCTTATAAAAAGACCGGATCTTTTGTAACCGATAAACTATTACTCAAGAGTACAATGAAATCAAAGAACACAATTTTCCTGCGAACAACTGCGTCGATCAACTCATGCCGACGAATCTTACCAATAGTGTCACCATCACCAGGAGGCCTTTGGCGAGAGTCCCAGCCCAAGCAATCATGAAGGGCGCGATAAGGGAGTAGTCTCCAAGACCCCCTATCGTTATGCCTATCTAGCTCCATCGGCTACTCTGATACCAATTGAAAATACCCTAGAGTGGGGTGAATAGGGTTATTGCTAATCTTATTAGATATTAATGCAAATTAAAACTTGTTAATAAGTTGTTCTTGCAAGATAGATATATAATATGATATGAGCAAGAATAAGCTATATAAACAAAGTGCAATATCCTAACAATGAGATATACAAAGAGTAGTATGCAAGGATAAGCAAAAACAAATGTGATAGGTCAAAATAAACAATGAGCAATGACGAAGGAGATAGACTAAGCAATAGACACGAATGATACGCCAATGCAAACTCTAACACACAAAGATGATCACGGAGTCTAAGCAATAGACACGAATGATACGCCAATGCAAACTCTAACACACAAAGATGATCACGGAGTTCAGACCTTCCGTCCTACGTCTCCGCTCCCCACCAATGCAAACTCTAACACACAAAGATGATCACGGAGTTCAGACCTTCCGTCCTACGTCTCCGCTCCCCGCTCCCAGGGAGAAATCCACTATCACAACCGAGTTTTTTACGCTTACCCGAACAACGTTTACACCTCACAAATCGGTTTTCTAGTTTACCGAAAACTTTACAACACACACAATTGCACTCACACTCTACACCCTCTAAGTGTTGGTTTCTAGCACGTGTTTCCCTCTAGTGCTCCGAATTATGACCTACCTCTAGGCATTACTACCGACGCCACTCCTCTTGGGACAACCCCGTCTCTCACCACACACTCCTCTTGGTGTACAAGTGTGAAACAACGTGTAACTTATAATTAAGCACAATTACAATAAAATGTTCTCTACAATAGGTGAGAACTCAATGTAAGCTCAATCTCACTAATCACAATCCCATAACCGAATATATGATGTATGAAATGCTACAAGCTCAAATAGGGTGTGTGTGATAAAATGAGTATAAATAAAATCTAACCCAATTATCAAACTAGCAATAATATGAAAATCAATAATAAAATTGCTAGAGAAAAGAGTTAGAAAAACTTCTCTACAAACACAAAGAGGTTGATGAAGATTAAGGATGAATTCCTCAATTGAAAATGCAAGCCTCCTCTTTGTA